TGACTGTTCTAACAAAGTACATTTGTTACAGGTTTCCACTGGGGCACTGAAATTGACAATAAGCAGGATATTCAGCTTAGAGAAAGTTTTGAAATCAGAAAGTTCTTATTAAAGGGAGGGAACTTCATGAAAGAATTAGGAAGTAGTACAGAATTAGTTTAATATAATATTTGGATTAGATAAGCACTGGGCAAAAATCACAGTAATAAAGCCCATTTGACACACAGTCATGTTCAAAGTCTGGCTGGGATGTCACAGGATGTGTTTGCCTCTGGAATGTCTGCACCAGCAGATATGATTTTAAAGTATTATTTAAAATCTACTGTGCCTATGGGCCAGCACTGCTCAGGCACTTCTTGTTATCCCATGGAAGCCCACTGCTTGTGGGACAGGGACAAAGCAGAAGCCCATCTCTGTGTAGAGCAGACAGTCAGCAGAAAGGCAAAGTCCATGTCTCTGTTTCCCAGCAACCTGCAGTTTGAAGGCACATCAGGAGTGGGGTTAATACATGCCCCATCTGAGGGCTGAGGTTTTTGACCCATAGAGATTATACCCACAGAGGGGTGAATCTGGTGCAGAGACTGCAGTTCATGTACACCAGACATTTTGGCTTTGTCTACTGTGTTCAGTGGAGGACATGCCCAAGGAGAGGCTAAAATAGATGTTTTCCTTAACCTCTGCTGTTTGCCTTGCCAGCAGGACAGCTGTAGTCCAGCACTAGCTCATTCCCTATGACTTTGCACAATGTTCTGTCAGGCTCCTCTAAGAAAGAAGCTTGGATTAATTTCTGTCTTACATTGGCTATGCAAAACATAAGGCTTCACACGAAGTATGGTGAACACACGCTGGTGAGTGAACCCAGAATACTTGTGTCCTCCCACCCACAGACAGGTGTGCATATGGACCCACACCAAGAGGTGGTGTCAGCACCACCTTTCTCCAACACATAATGCTCCCCAACTCCCACAAAGCCTAGAGCTTTACATAGGTGATTTTGGCCTTGCATTAAGCCCAGGTCCCTGCCTGAGGTCTGAACATTTCCTCTAAACTTTGTTTAGTGGCTAATCACCTGATGATTTCCCTGAGTAGAGATCTAACACTGGTTGTCACTGCTTGGGTGGGGCCTCATCACAACAAACAGCTGTGCAGCACAGCTGGGAATGGGAAATCCTCCCCACTAACTTCCTTCCCACTTTCCACTGAACAGACTGAAACATTTTTCCTTTTCTCTGAACAGCAGAGAGGCAGGACACAATGCGAATCTGGTGCTGTTCAGACTTTTGATGAGCAGCAGAAGGCTAATCCCTCTCCTAGTAAATATTCCCATGGCTCAGTCCCGCAGGGCACTGAGCAATCCCTGCTCTTTTCCACACCACCACCCCCACTTCACAGCCCAGGAAGGGTTTAAGAACAAGTACTTACATCAGTGGACTCATTTTGTGATGGAAGTTCAGACAAGACCACACTTAGGTGAGCACACAGTGCTTGGTGAGGTTCAGACCAAGATACTGCTCTGCCCTTCTGCCTACAAACCTGCAGGAGTGAAGCAGCACAACTTCCCCATCCACGCTCAAGATTTATATGGCTTGCTTTCCTCTTCTTAAATCTCTCCTAACAAAGCTTTGTTCAAAGATGATTAACAGATGTTGTCGTTAAAACGTTGGTACTTGCCAACAAATAACACATGGGTCTGCTTGAGAAACAGGGCTGTTTCCACAGCTTTCCCCAAGAAGAGATACTTGTGGTAATTGGTAAGGCCTGTGAGAAGATGACATTTTAAAGTATCTTCTACTGTACATAATTTCCTAAGAATGGTTTTCTGAGAATTTGTTTATCTTGTTGGTATGAAATCATTTGGATAAACCCGCATGATACAGAATAGATAATAATGCCCATTATGATTAAAGGAGTAAGAGGCAATCTTTTTAGATAACAATGAATTTCGTGAGCAAAGGCTTATTTGTAGCAAAAGTAAACAAAAAACCATAGATAGCCATGTATCTTAATTGAAGATGTAAAATAAAATGATTAAGAGAGATGCAGAAATGATTCTCAAAGGCTAGAATGTGACAAACAAAAGGAGAGGATTTTACTCTCCATTGCAAGATGAGCTGAAATGTACAGCCAGCAATCCCCAACCCCCAAAAGTATTGGGGAACAGGGTAAGTACAACAGAACTGGCTGGAATACCCAAGCCCAGAATCACTTCTGTGTTTCCCAACCCAGTACACACTGAAATCTCAAACCCAGGAGCCAGGCCCTCTGTGTGCAATTCGGAAAGGCAAAGAGAGGAGATGGCAACGTACCCTGTCCAGGGAGATCTTTGAAGAGTTATGAACAGAAATGTTTTGAAGGTGGTAACCTAGATATTGATGAAACTCCTGGCAATTTATTTTTAATGAAAAGGTAATTTTTCTTCCGAGAGATGGAAAGGAATGAGTATTCAGTAGGTTTTCAGAAACTACTTAAAAGCAATCTCAGTCTTTTGTAATGCTCTCAGCACATACATTGTAAATATCATTTTCATATAGGTTTCAAATAAATGACAGATGTAGTACATTTTTACTACATTCTAAAATCAGCATTTTAGAGGTTGACATTGAAATCCTTTTCTCTCTTTTCTCTTTTCCACAGACCTGTTGTTAAAAGCATGACTGCTCTGCCAAAAAGTCCATGTTTTGAAAGGCTTTTATTCCTTCTGTATTCCTTTTCTTCTAACTGTATGACTCCACACTACAACATGCCCTGATGAGATGGGTGGCATTTTATAGCTCTCATTTATGTCTCATCTGAACCTGCTGCAGTCAGGAAGAATATTCCCATTGACTTTACTAAGCTTCAAAGCAGCATTTTATTTGAGATTTAGCTTTAGCTTCAATTCCCGTCTCAATTCACTGTGTACTTCAAGCAACCAAGGAACAGTCAATGTTGTCATGTTCCACTTCTACAAACCAATGGGTAGATGTACTTGACAGGTTTTAAATTGAGGAAATATAACAAATTCACAGGCGGTACAATTAGAAACACCATCTTACAGACATGTAGCAAGAGGAAATTCAACTAATCTGATGTTTGTTTATTCCTTTAACATTCTATTAAAGCAAAGAAGCTCTATAATGAGATTACTGCATTTTATCTCTTAATTGTATCCAGATATGCAAAACAGATTTACTGCTAGTGGCTTGTATACAGTACAATATTTTAAAGCTAATTATGGAACGGCGTTACTATTGTCACACGATGAAATACTGATTCTTATTGTTATGAATCAATATCATTTTCTAAAATTAATTGTAATTACCTTTTTAATTGGATATAAACCCTACTAAATTCTGAAACAGCTAGTTATATAAATATAATTCTTTTAAATCCAGGATGATACCAGCATAAAATATTTTAATTAAATAGATTGCAAAAAAAGGGAAAAAAAAGACATTAAATAGTCTTCCATTATTAAAGCCAGCTGTAAGTCAAGTCTTGAAAATTTTCAAGCTTTTATTTTTGAACACCTGAAATCTGCCATTGTCCCTGTAAGCATGTATACACATCCTCCCCAAACCGTGTATTAATAGTTTAATTGTTCATTGAAGAGCAGTTAGCACCTGGGTTTTGTTTGTATTATTCCACCCAGAGAGGAAAGCATATTTGAGTATTCAGCCTCACAAACCCCCAAGGCACAGAACATCTAGCATCTTTTCATTGCTTATGTATATAATACAACAAACAATTTGAAAAGTTAAGCAAATAAAGTAACATTGTATCAAAGTTCTGTTCAAAAACATTGGTGAGTAGATGGTGAAAATCTCTACTTGATTTGTTAGCTGCAATTTCTTAGTAATTTTAAAAAAATTCTGTCCCTATGTGATAATACCTCATGTATCTTGATCATACAGCTCATCAACGCAAATTTAATTTCAGGTATTTATAACTTGGTACTGCAAACTAACATTTTGTACACATTTCAAGGTACAAAAGCTCGGTTTTCCTGAACAAATAGTCATAATAGGAACAACTGAAGTCTTAGCTACAGACAGATCACAGCTTATTTGCAAGTCTCCTTGAATATGGGATACCTTTTCCCTCTCTCCACTTAGTGGCAAAGGGACGAGGAAGAGGCTCTTGTTTATCTCAGCAGAATGAAGCAGCAGTTTAAAACTTACCTGAGTTCCAGCCATCTTAATTAGCGTTAGTCTTCAACACTATTATACCTGGTTTTCATACATTTGCACATGCAAACCAAATTATATTTACACACACTATGGTAATTAAAGCAGTTACATTTTGATGAGCTGAAATGAATCAGAACTTCCAGACAAGATAAATGAATAATATCAACCATTTAGAAACATCTTGTGGTCTTATTGACTTACTAGAATAAGGACCCAGCTACAGATTGAACTGCCAGTATTTTGGTGGAAGTGAAGTTAGATTCTGATGCTGACTCTACATCTGATGACATATTATCCCACTTATTTCATGAATAAATATTGCAAAATGCATATTTGATACTATCAAGAAATTTTATTTAACCAGCAGCTCACCACTAGAAAAAAATCAATACTTCATGTGTTTTTTCAAGAATATATACTTTCAGTCAACTCTGTTTGGGCTATCCTTCAGTATCATCATGCAACAAATAAATATTTATGTTAACACTTACCACAGTCTATACGGACATAGGACATTAATTTTCTATTTATTTGAAGAGCCCACATTATCTAGGAAGGCTCTTCCACTATTTCTGTGATCTAGATTTCATTGAAGATATTATTCACTCCACATTTAAGTCTTTCATCTGCACGCCAAGTGTTAAATTATATTGGGTTACTGTCTGTATAATTCTATTTTTACTGCAGCTCTTCACAGATTAAGATTCAAATGCATCGAATTTTGTAGGATTTTGACAGTAATTCCAGCAGTGCAAGTCTTAGGTCTGTCCACCTAATTGTGCCATTTATGAATTTCTAAACTCTGTATGTGCCTATAGAAACTGCACTTACCTGCTGTATGAATCCTGTCACCGGATCCTTGACAGCCATCCTCATCATCACAATCTCCACTTGACTCCATCTCTTCGCTTCTTCCACCCCCACTGCCAGCATCTCGGGAAGCCCATCTTTCCAGTTTTAATTTTGCCTTCTCAGCATCCAGCTAAAATGGAAAAAGCAAAAAAACCAACAATGGTCAGAATATTTACACAGTTCCTACCTCTGGTGACCAAGCTGGGTTTATAAAGCAGCAAGCACTTTCTCATTCACTTTCAAGAACAGCTCCTCAAGTCGGAGGTTGTTTCTGGCAGTGACATCCGAATATTTTGGAATAACAGGCTATACCATCAAATTTTCTCCACCACAGATAACCAGGGACACTTATCATCAAACTTTTCATTAAAACACCACATCTACCAATATCATCACAGGGAGCTCTGGTCCTGCAGCTTTTTCTCTTGCAAACCCCAGTTTGGAGATGACTGGTTAATGATGGTACAACCTGCCAGCTGCCTGAGCACTTATTTTGGGTTATTTGCAATTGAAGACCACAATATATTTGACAACCTTTGAAGAGCTGAGGGTATTTGCTACTCTTCATTATGGGCTTGGTCACTTGGAAACCTTGACCGCTGGATATGACTTGTAAGATGCTGTCATTTAAGATGCCTTTACAAACTGCAATTTATTCATTAAATTTCACTTTTAATAGGTTTCTTGGCCCGAGTCTAGAATAAGAAAGCATTTTCTAAAATAAATCTAAATGTGTCATACTAGGTCACACTTGCTGTAACAACACATTTACTTCCCAAACTCATCTTTTTGATCTTTCTCCTCTCCTTCTGTCACCATGAGCAGTGGTGCTGTGGGAATAAATGATTTTTCAGCTCACTGGTAGTTCCAAAAAATGAAAAATACCATTTAATTTTCAGCAAATCTAGACCCATCCTATCCAGGGAACAGCACTATCGGGGAAGAAATTAAGTAACTGGCTTAGCCCTAATACATTTTGTTATTTTTCATGGAAAGACGATTCAGGAGAAAACTTGAACTTCCCCCCACGCCTGAGAGCAGCACCTCCTCGCTGAGCTCCACAACACCCCTCCTGCTGGAGCTGTGCCATTTTTGTACAACATCTCACAACCAAGATGCTCCATGTTCCTCGGTGGCCACCCTCCCCTCAACAGCTTCTATCTGTGGTTGCTTGTGCGAAGGACACTTGAGGGTATTAGAGAAGGTGGGACAGCTTCTGCAGAGAGAAGCCCCGACAGCTCAGCTTCCCCTACAGCCCAGTGACAGGGAAATACCCTGATTCAGAGGGGATTTTGTCACAGTCTGGCTACGTTGCCCCGGATATTATCAAGTCACCATCCCCCCCATACCTTCCATCCCCGTTTTGTGAGTGGCCACCAATTTACTTTCTGCATCTTGTTGGAAAATTACTTTGGGAGGTGTTGATTTTGCTTTGGAGGGATGGAAATAGCTGTGCTGGTATTTCTGATCACTTCTTTCACGTAGCTGAAACTCTGCCTACAACACATTTAAACGTTGTTTTGAAAGGTAGAGGATTGTTTGCCTCCTTTTTGGAATTATAAAAACCTTGTTTGTGTTTGCTCTGCTGGAACGGTCTGAGGGACGATTAGGGCCTGTTATTCTGGTTACGTGGATATATTTTAACCAAATGGAAAGACTCTGTGATGCTTCTCAAAGCTGGTCAGATTCAGGATCTCTCCAATACCCTTCATCACAAGTATCTTCCCCCCAAAGTATTGCAGATCCGTTTCAGACTGTTTCATCCCAGAGGACTGTGGTTATTCTCGGTACTGAGCAAACTGTATTTTGAAATGTAGCTACTTTGAAGATTCAAACACATTTCACACTAAAAGGGAGGTGGGGGAGGAACTGGGGCACAGGGCTAATACAGCTCTATTAACTGGGTTGAAAGGATGATGACGGCTGCAGCAATTTCTCTGTAGTGGGAAGCTTTTTGTGATAGTTTCCTCCTTCTTCAGATGCTGTGAGCTGCCCCCCTCCGCTCTGGGGCTGCCAAACACTTGGATGAGTGCAGCAGAGATCCTGTTCTACAGAACAACAGATGCCAACTTCTATATGGCAGAACTCAGGCAATTTTTCACCCTTCCACGGTGAAGATCTGTTTGCTCATTCTGAAGACACAAATAACTTCACACCACGGTGGGAAGATCAGTAAGTGGGAGGAGAGGGTACGGGCTCTAGTGGGGAAGCACACTGAGCACTGCCTAATTGTTACTGCAGGACTGTTCTTTATAAACAAGTTGCTTAATGTTGAGCCTCATTATTCAGGGGCGTAAAGGCTGATGTCACGGCAATACAAACCAACATTTTGTTAAACAATTGGAAAAAATCTGCCTACGAGGGAGAAAGATAACTCAGTTCTTTCACAGATTTATTGTGTCCTGACCATATTAGAGAAGATTCATTCGTTCTTAGTTATAATCCTTCAGAATGAAAAGAAATGGCTAAGTGGTGAACAGAACAGATGCAAAATTTAATAAAAGCTTTTAATGATTGTTTGCCAGTCAAAGCAGAAGCATCTACTCCCTGGGAAGGTACTCCTTCTTTTCAAAATTTGATTTCATTCAGTGCTCATGGCCCAATCCTGACCTCTGCTCAAAACAAGTAAATCCTTAATCCAAATGTGCACCATCCTCTTGGACAAAGACCAAGAAACAAGCTCAGCTTTTCAACACGGTGCACTGCAGCATTTTACAAACTTCTGGGTTCTTAGTGCCTTCACTTCAAAAAGCGATGAGCCGTAGCCCAGATCTGCATCAACTGCCCGTAATAATGAAGATTTACCCAGGTCTTTCTTAGCCTCCCAGGAAAGAGGGCCATCAAATTGCACAGATCCTTTATATACACGTCCAACATTACAACTTAAACTCTACTCAGGTGCAACCTACCAAACTTTTTCACCACATATACCTTTTCCCAACCTTTTCCCATCACTTCTCCAGCAAAGAATTTTCTATCTGTGGCTACCATTCACCTAGAATGATGAACCAGAGCCCAACTTTGGGCAGAGATAATGGCTTATCTATAAATAAACCCATTCTGGGAGATGAAATAGTGGAGCCAAGTTAGTGAGAAGCTCCCCCCACACTGTGCAACCCTGCTGAGAAGGCTACGTCACCACCGCATAGTGACTTGTGATCTAGCACCCTTCTCTTTTACAGATTTTGAAGGAACACATGTCCTTTGACCACCACCACGTGACTTTAGTGAGATCACTGTTTTAGAGCCACAGCAAAGTGTACGTCAGCATTTCTTCATCTCCCTTTTTTTCACAGAATCATAGAAAACTTTCTCAAAGGCCTCTCACTGCACCGAAATAGCACAGACTGCATCAGGATGGACTAGGATGGCGAAGCTTTAATGAAAGACACTAACCTTCACTTTTTATTAAGCTCTGCTAGCTCCAGGAGGTAGGTGTGGCCAGGGAAGGCCCTTAATGCTAGGGGACTGAGAGGTCTCCAACAGGAGCTGGAGGTCACATGAAGGCTCAAGGTCTCTTCAGAAACCACGATCTGCCAAAAATCCTGAACAATTCTCCTAGCTGCTGCCACCAACCCCTAAAACTTTCAGCTTCCCCACAGATGGTTGTAGAGAGAGTCACAGTCCCTTGCCCATATTTATCAGTAGAGATTGGAGATTGGAGTCAGTAACGTCATTTCTATTATTGCTTACAAACCACTCTTAAAAAAGCCTTCTTTTGCTGACTTATGCTCCGCCTGCTGATGCATGATGCCCTCCAGCCACCTCTGGCAACTCAGCACAGCAGCTCCAGCCCGGGAGTGCAGTCTCTTGATGCTGAGACTTGATGCTTGGTTGAACAATTGCAATGGATTTCAGGCTGGGCACTAGAGCTTTACTTTCACAAAGCAGAAGATATCTGCTGCATAAGATTCAAGAAAATACTGGAATCTTAACAGCTTAAAAATTAAGTCCTCAAGCTTTTGCACATCTGAAAGACTTTTTTTTTTTTTTTCCTCATGAAAAGGTTATATAAATAGATCAATAAGATTTGCACAGCCCAACTGAAAACTGACTCAGATCAGGAATTTTCCCAACTGCAATAGGCTTTGGATCAGGTTCATAAACCTCTACAGGGTTTTTGGGAAACCATACAGTCTTCACGTGGGAAAGCTTTAATATCTGTATCTGATCCAGCTGAAAGGTAAAAATCACGTATTACTGTTCAGCTCTGAGTCAGATACAGATGACTATCCTCATGCATTGTATTTGTTCCAGCAAAGGTGCCAGCCTTAAGTGACATTAAAAAAAAAACCCCAGTTCTGCTGATGTGTGGTTTTACAGAGAAGAAAGAAGTCATATGAGAATGGTTGCTGTCTTTCTCCCCTATTAATACTTGATGATGTAGCACACATTCCTGGTCACATAAAAGAGTCCTTCAGACTTCAGAGGCTTCAAAGAGTATGTGACACACAACCCCTGAGCTTTCTACAACGAGTCTAACCCTAATTCTCACTCCCACCACAGATGTGTTAGAATATAAATTTATTCTCCTGGTTTTTCATGAAGGCACGTTCCGGCTGAATACTTCCACACATTAACTAAATAATAACTGTTTAGCTCCATGAAAACTATTTTGATAAAAGTGCCAATTTCAATTCATTTCATTGACGAGGCTATTTTCTGACGGGTCATATATGCACGTATATCTGAGGGGATGACTCCAAGCTGTAGGACAATAAATCCATTTCATCAGAAAATAGGTTTTAAAAATATATTTTACACCACAGTTTCAGGCTTTTCAGGTCAGTGAGCACAGCAATGAAAATCTAAGAGAATACACTTTTTGAATAAAGCCACTTAAAAGTTGCGTGCTTGGAATATTCAGAGACAAATCCCATACAATAATTATTTCCTGAGGGATTTGTTAATTAGCTTTCTATATGATGGATTTCAGCGTGAATGCTTTTCCTCTCTGAAAAAGACAGCTTTGAGGTGAAATCTGACTTCTGCCCACTTGTCATGTGAGCACACGGATCTTACTTGCTGGTGTTTTCACAGTGATCAAAAAATGGCTGATTGCATCCTGCATTTAGAGACCGTAAGCAAAGCATGATCTTTTCTCAAGGTACTTAAACGCAGTTGCCTTTT